ACATAGATTATAATCATAGGCTACGACAAAACAATTTGAAAAAGCTAAGAAAATGAAATTAATACTTTTACATATTACAAGTACTTTCAGTTTTTATCAATTTTTCATTGAAGGTCTGAAAATATAATTTATATAAATATAATGTCTCGAAACTATTAATTTCGATTATGTGACTGTAAAAATTTATTTAAACGTACAAGGGATCGTAAAGATGTGTTTAAATTACTTTACTCCCACGGATGGACATTTGCACTTTGAACAGCCCATGGTGAGGAAAGTAACATTACCATTAATTATGTATTCAAAAAACTGATCAAGAGAAGCTTACAACAATTATTTTTATCACTTACTGTGTTTTAGTGTCAGATGGTATTTTATTAGTGCTTAGCTCAGATTTATCGATTGCAGCAGCTTCACAGTAGCTTTGTATGTACAACGTTAATATGTTCACAACAAAAAAAATATTGAACACTTTAGCAAACATCTTTACTTTACGACTACGAAACAGCTACTCCTTTCAGTATAGAAACTTCTTGTTCCACTACTGCGTGTGTTTTAATGATTCACTCTACAATAGTATTGTTAGCTCAACTAGGGTGGCACCACCCTTTATATCTTCCTTGGACTTTCGTTTGTGTTGGTGTAAATAGCTTTATCATTTGACATGACTATGAGTCGATGGTAATGGTAATTGGCACTAATTGTCACTTTTAACACGTAGTCAATCTTATCTCTAAAACTTCCGGAATAACGACCATGGCGGCACAAATTAATTTTACTACTAAAATTAACATGCAAAGTCCCAAAAAATGGGGACATCACCACACTTGCAATTAGCAATAAAAATGCATACGGTTGCAATAGATTAGTTCTTATCCTATAGTCACTAATTTGAATTTGTACAAGTTTTACGCTGGATGGTATTAAAATAAAAAGGAGGTTGTTTTAGCCTCAAATGCACTATTTTTTTTAGATCATACAAAAGAGTTGGGCACCAAATATTATCAACGAACACATGTCATCAGTAAGTTTAAAACCACTCGTAATTGACGGTGCAACTCATCATCCTCGTTCGCCAACTAATGAACCCGCAAGACCCTTCACGACACATGAAATTAGCGTAGCAACATAACGTGTAATCACCCTCGCTCACGACTTAATTCGCAACCACGGCTACATGACTAACGACCAGCTGACACGCATCGCGCGATCTCGCGCACAATCAGGGTCATAGCTGAAAGCCCAGTAAAGCTCATCTCGACGTGCAACGCATTTAGCTAATTTTTTTTCTTTTCCGATTTTATTTTACCGTGTCCTCAGAGACGACGAGCTTGGGTAAATGTTTACCTAACCTCCTTGGGATTTAACGAGGGCTTCATCCAACGGGCCGAACGGGTGTGAAAAGCCTTGCAGTTTCCGTCAGTTTTTTCATTTCTTTCGTTAATTCAAGCTGGTATTGTTACATTTTCTTTGTTTTTATTATCCAAATTACGTTATTATTAGTGGTTATATCATGTCAACCCAATATCCGTAGTTTCAGTTTGTTTAGTACGGAGTCCCACGTCAAATTCGAGATACCATTGTCTCGAAAGATAAGGAAACAACTCGTTTTTGATCGATAAAAATTAATTAATTTCCTGCATTGCATTATCTCTTCGAGTTTGACAAGTGGGCACACATGTTTAGATTCCCATATGAGGTAAAAAAAGTTTAAAACCCAATTTTGTAAAAATGAAGTTATTATACGATTTTGGGTAGTCTGGAATATGGAAATGAATTAGATTCGACCGTGCCATTGCACCATGACAAACAGCTATAACATACGTATTCGTAATACATGATGGTATTGAATGAGACAATTAGTTACAGTGGGAAATTTATAAGGATGTACAATATTCGATGTCACTTTTATTTAATAAATTACGGGGAAATATGGAAATGTACTGATGCTAAAAAAGTTTCTTTCGTCTTCGCGATCTCACACATTAACATTTGAAGTTGTTGAAACGATACTTATTTAAAATGAGTTTTTAATTTTAAACACTATACTTACCTACCAAAATTTACTACCTTTAGAAATAAAGGCCGTAATAATGTTAATTAATGTTCAATTAACGTGTTTGAAATCAATAATCAGTAACTTCTGTAGTTGATCATAGGAACTGAAACAAATTATGAATTGCTTTTGCATTTAATCAAAGTAATTACAATAAGTTGACAATTACAAAAGAAATCAATGTTTTATTTTAATTACTTTACACAAGTACAAACGTACTTACGCTTTTTTAGTAATACGATTTTTCATTTGAAATATTGCAATTTAAACAAAGTAGATACACTTTGGTATTTTAAATAAAACATTTCAGTATTGTAATTCCAAATTGAGAAAGTTTGAATTATTTTATTCGAAGTAATCAATCAGTGAATGTATTAAGTATATTGAATATTTTATTAGAACTAGACAGACCAGATGTATTTTACGTTAACTTTTAGAAATCCGAACGTGTGAAAAGAATCTATAAGTATAAGTAAACGAAGTCTGAAGTCAGTGGAATGAATAAACTGGAAAAATAAAAAAAGATATGTGAAATTTTTTTAAATAAATGGCAACTACCCCTTGTTTGCGGAAACTAAGAGGAATTTTAAATAAAATTTACTTGTTAATGTTTTGAACTTATATTTGTGATTTTCATTTTTAAATTTTGCAAGGAAACCTAGAATAAAATGTTAGAAATTTACGAAGTTTTTATATCTTTTTTCATTTAATTGTTTTTTTTTTCTAAAATAAAATCACAATGCTTGTTTTTTTAAAGTAGAAGGATCATTAAAAGTTAAAATCATACCATATTCTCCAAGGTTGAAAATTATATAATACTTAATTTTATTTTGAAAACATTATGTAAGGTACT